GCCGCGCGGGAGAAGGGGTAACGGTAAGGGTTAGGGTAAGGGTTCGGCTTAGTCCATGCCCATATGCCGCGCGGGAGAAGAGGCGGGTCGGAGCGGGGAGGGAGAGCCGTGGCGGGCGGGGAGGGAGAGGCCGGAGAGGGGGCTGGGGAGGCGGAGCGGCGATCCCGCGGGCGGGACGAGGCGCCGCCCGCCTCCTCCCCTTCCGCCAGGGCCGCCTCTTTCCTTCCGCCAGGGCCGCCTCTTTCCTTCCGCCAGGGCCGCCTCTTTCCTTCCGCCAGGGCCGCCTCTTTCCTTCCGCCAGGGCCGCCTCTTTCCTTCCGCCAGGGCCGCCTCCTCCCCTTCCGCCAGGGCCGCCTCTTTCCTTCCGCGAGGCGGGCGGGCGAGGCGAGCGCGCGCCTTGCCGACGAAGGCGCGCTGGCCCATGCCCGAGGCGATCCGGCCGAGCTGCAGCGCCGCGTCCGTGTGGATCGTCGCAAAGTACATGCATGACGTCGTCCCGTTCCGGAGCGTGCGCGCGACGGCGTTCCGGCAGACGCGCGCGGCAAAGGCTGCATCCTTGAACTTGGCCTCGGAGGGGAAGGTGTACTTGTTGAGCCAGTCGAGTAGCTGGAGGTCGTACCTGGGGCGCGGCTCGGGGCGCGGTCGGCAAGCACGGTCACTCGTCCGGCCACTCGACCCGCTGCCGGAGAGAGCCGCGCCCGATCCCGGTAAACGAAAACTGCGGCGCGTGCGTGTGCGTGTCCACCAGCCCGGGGCAGAGGAAGCCGCGGGCCGGCAGGTCACGGATGACGCAGCCGCGGCTCAGCACCACCTCTCCTCCCTCGCGCAGCACCTGCCGGCTCGGGTGGGACGGTCGGCGGCAGAGACGTAACGGGCGCGCGGGCGCGCGGCGGGAGCACCAGGCTGCTGCCAGGAGAGAGAGGCTCGGTGTGTCCTTCTTCGCAGAAGGCGACGGTGCCGATGGCGCGCACGCCGAGCACGGCGTGGGTGCGCACGCGCAGCGTCGTCAGCTCTGGGCTGTCAATCACGGTGCCGCGGATCACGAGCACGACGTCGTCGAGCGGCCGCTTCGGCATGATGAGGTGCCGAGGCGGCGGGACGCGGTCTCCGGCAGGTCGACCTGGAGGCGCGGGGCGGGCGTGGCTGGTGGCAAAGCTGGCGCAGCGGAGAGTGGGGCAGGACGTGCAGCGCGAGACGCGCTGCACCTTCTCGTTGACCTCGTTCGCAGGACATCTACCGTACCCCCCCAAACTTAGACCTATGCTTCGCCGATTCGGCCTTATCTCTGCAACATCACATCTACATCTCTCTCCGTAGCTTCTCTCTCTCTCTCTCTCTCTCTCTCTCTCTCTCTCTCTCTCTCTCTCTCTCTCTCTCTCTCTCTCTCTCTCTCTCTCTCTCTCTCTCTCTCTCTCTCTTACAACCGTATTAGTTAGTGCCACTACACTCCAGTTGTAGGTAGTTGTCCTGAGGCCCACTTCTTTTTTGTTCGGCGCACGGCGCTTGTTGCCGGACTCTGGTGTTGTTCAATGGTTCATTTGGAGCACTTGGAGTGCAGTCAGTAACCGCACACCCAGGGCCGGGGAGCTGAGAAGCGCACCCAGCGGGCCGGATCATTTGGGCGCGCCATTTCTTCCTCTAATGCGCACGGCGCTTGCTGTATGAAACGCTGATCTTCCATGGTTCCTCCGCCTCCCTCACCGAGTGTAACCCCGCATCTGTCGGACAGAGGCCTCGACCGCCCCTCGCGGCAAACAAACGAGCAGCTATACCTTTAGAAATATGGCGGAGTTTTTTCTCTATTTTTCAGGTGAGGCGCCGTGCCTCCATGGAGTCTCCGCCTCGAGCACGCACCGACGACGACGACGCCCCGCCCACGGACTGGCTGGGCGAGCTGCCGCCGGAGCTGCACCTCCGCATCCTCGAGGGCGTCGACGACTTCTCCGACTGCGCCGCCTTAAGCCTCGCGTCGCCGCGCCTCGGCCTCCTCGCCCTGCGCAGCGGCCTGGCGCGCTTCAAGGACCCTCTCTTCGCCGTGGCGATGCGGCTGCTTCTCATCGAGCGCTTGATTGCCGGATACCACTTCCCGTGGCTTGCGAGGGTGAGCCCGGCACGCTGCCTCTCGTCGGAAGTGACGGGTGCTGGCGTGAGTCGCGCCGAATACTGGAGACTGCGGCGCGGCGAAAAGAATGGCGCGAATCTGCGGCGACGCCTCTTGCAGTCCGGCCAGGTGCAGCACTACGAGGGCGAGCGAGGCGCGGAGCGGATGGTGCGCTTGGTGCTTCCCAGCAACGTGGTGCACTACGAGGGCGAGCAAGACGCGGAGCGGGTGGTGCGCAGGGAGTTCGCCGACGGCACTGTGCAGCACTTCGAGGGCGAGCAAGGTGCGGAGCGGGTGGTGCGCAGGGAGTTTGCCGACGGCACTGTGCAGCACTTCGAGGGCGAGCGAGGTGCGGAGCGGGTGGTGCGCATGGAGCGTGCCAATGGCGCCGTGCAGCACTTCGAGGGCGAGCAAGGTGCGGAGCGGACGGTGCGCATGGAGACTGCCAGCGGCATCGTGCAGTACTACGAGGGCGAGCGAGGTGCGGAGCGGGTGGTGCGCATGGAGTTTCCCGCGGCAACGTGCAGCACTACGAGGGAGAGCGAGATGGGGAGCGGATGGTGCGCGTCGACGCCGCCTCGGGTCTAAAGAAAGAGACAGAGAGAAATCACTCCACACAGCAGGGTGGAGGGATGGCGGATGCGGGCACTTGTGTGGTCTTTCTCTTCGACTCTGGTGTGCCATGTTAGTGCCAGTGGGTGGCGCGCGCCGCCGACATCCGCCAGAGTCCCGCATGCCGCGGATGCGCGCCAGTCCCGCGGCTAGTGTAAAAGAAAGAATAAAAAGAACCCCCGAAAACAAACGAGGGATGGGAGGAGGACAGGGTCCTCACCTGCACTTGCGACTTGGGAGCACTTGGAGTGCAGTCATTAACCTCACATCCACTTCCAGGGCCGGGGAGCTAAGAAGCGCACCCAGCGGGCCGGATGATCGGCATCGGGTTACGGGCTAGAGAGCCCTAGCCCGGGGGGGTGCGCGTTCGCAGGGAAAGGGCCGTAAAGTAAACACAGGTCTCCGAGGGTTGGTTCTGCGCTTTGGGTGTCCCCTAGCGGCGGAACGCCCCCTCTACTCGGAGCTAGTAAACACCAGACACGAGCATGACGTACACTCTCACCCGACATCGCCACTCAGGGCTCCTCCGCCCGATCTCCCCACCCCCCATCCGAAGGGGCTCGCCCCTCTCCTCCCGGTCTCCCCTCCTGTTCGCTTTCCGATGGTCAGGCGTCGGCTGCGGAGCCCGCCTTCCCCTCTTATACTTCTTCGACCGCGGCTTCGCCGCCGTCTCGCCTTCTCTGTCTGATCCCGTTGACTCCGCGGGTGGCGATCCCGTGCCCGACTCCCCGGGCGAGGGCGGCGGCGTTGGGTTATATCGCCTCCCCTCCCCGAGGGGTCGGACCGGCTCTCCCTGGTCGACGAATCGCGCCCGCACCCGCGGCCTTTCTATCGTTCTCGGCTCGCCCCTCCCCTCCGCCGGCTCCTCCTCGAGCTCGGGGAGGCGTGGCCCTCCTTGTCGTAGATCACGGTGGTCCGGGCTGCCGCCGCGACGGGTCTACCCCCTGCACGAGCAGGATTTTGGAAGGACGATCAGGGGCACAGGGGGTTCTCTCGCTCCTCCTCCTGACAAGCAAGCAAGGAAGGGACACGACAGGCTCGCAGCGCGGGGCTCGGTGGACTCCCAATTTTCCACTGCGTGGCGGTCTCATCTCAGGCTAAATCTAGTGTCGTGAGATCCCTTGTAAAATTCTGTTCGTGTTAGTACCAGTGCGCGCCAGTCCCGTGCCCAGAAAAGAAAGAAAGAAAACACGCTCCCCAGACGAGGGATGGGGGGAGGACAGGGTCCCTACCTGCACGAGCAGGATTTTGGAAGGACGATCAGGGACACAGGGGAACGGGAGTGGGCAGTGTCGTGCGAGGAAACATTAAAATTATTTAGTGCCAGTGCGCGCCAGTCCCGTGCCGCTGAACCTTCTTTTCTAGACGGCTAGGATTGAGAGCAGCCTCGCTCTCAATCCTAGAAGTCGAAGGATTGTGAGCAGCACTCCTCGCAATCGTAGCATCTCTGTGCGATTGTGAGCGCCTACGCTCGCAATCCTACATCTTCTAGGACTAAGAGCAGCTCCGCTCCCAAGGTGACTGGTGACGCCTACGACTACTACCAGCGCGCTCGCAATCCGAGCAAAGTCTAGGGTTGCGAGCAGCACTGCTCACAATCCTAGCAACATGCCTCCGATTGCGAGCTGCAGTAGCGCTCGCAATCCTACATTTTGTAGGACTATTATGAGCGGCGATGCTCACAATCGTACCAAAGATCCAAGGATTGCTGGCAGGCGCACAGGGGGCGCTCCCAGTCGCTCCAGCCGCGAGCGCTTGTGAGCGTGCTGGGATGGTCTCCTCACAATCCAAACAGTGATCCCACCGATTGCGAGGGGGCCCGCTCGCAATCCTGATGCTAGAAGATGTAGGATTGCGAGCGTAGGCGCTCACAATCGCACAGAGATGCTACGATTGCGAGGAGTGCTGCTCACAATCCTTCGTTCGACTTCTAAGATTGAGAGCGAGGCTGCTCTCAATCCTAGCCGTCTAGAAAAGAAGGTTCACCTCCCGTGCCCAGTGTCGTGCTGCTTTCTAAATTCTTAAGTCTAAATTCCTGTGTTAGTGCCAGTGCGCGCCAGTCCCGTGCCTAGTGTCGTGCGAGGGAGTTTTGTTGCCCATTCTAAAGTGCCAGTGCGCGCCAGTCCCGTGCCTAGTGTAAAAGAATTCCTGAGGGAGGGTGTAGAGGATGTAGAGTGTAGAGCGCTGTAGAGCTGTAGAGATGTAGAGCGCTCTAGAGCGCTGTAGAGCTGTAGAGCTCTACATCCGCCGCGGGACGAAGTGCCTGCGTTGTAGAGCGATGTAGAGGCGCTCTACAACGTGAAATCTCTACAACAAACTCTACATCATAAACGGCGAACGAGGCACGGTCGCTCTCCGACATGAGGCGCGTTGCACTTGCCAGTGCTGCCCTGGCCTTCTGTCTGCCCGCCCAATGGGTGGGAGGTGCCTCTGCTGCTGTGGCATGCCTCACGGCTGCGACTGGCCGGCGCCTCGGCGCGTCAGCTCGGCTCGGCGTAGCGATAGTGGCCAGCGCAACTCGCCTGGACTCAACGCTCAGCCAGGAGCTCCCGCACGCGCTGGCGCGAGGCATGGCGCATGCAACGCGTCTGAATGCTCGCCTCGCCTCGCGCAAATGCGACCGTCCTTGACTCTCTGTGTGTCAGGGATAGTCAGGGCCGTCCATTAGAGCTCCAGCAAGCTCGGAGACACCCCATTAGTGCGACTCGACCTCTTTGAGTCACTGCCTTCCCGACGGTTTGGCTGTAGAGCCTCTACAACAAACTCTGCAGCAAAATCGCGCTCTACATCGCTCTACAACGCAGGCACTTCGTCCCGCGGCGGATGTAGAGCTCTACAGCTCTACAGCGCTCTACAGCTCTACAGCGCTCTACACTTTACATCCTCTACACCCTCCCTCAGAAGAATTCTTAAAATACAAGCCTCTCTCACAGCACACTGGCACGACAAGGGCGCGGACTGGCGCGGACTGGCACACACACCGGCTCACCAAGTGTAAAAGAAAGAAAACATAGAACTCAAGGAAGGGATGGGAGGACGGCACGCCGCCACCACACAGGGATTTTAGGGGCCCAGCGTCGTGCGATGAAAAGATCAAAATTCTTTCCTGTGTTAGTGCCAGTGCGCGCCAGTCCCGTGCCCAGAAAAGAAAGAAAGAAAACAGACAACCCAAGGGAGGGATGGGAGACCCGTGCCCAGTGTTGTGCGCGGGGCGGTTTAAATCTCTACCCTTATAAGTCTCTCGTGTCCGCGCCGACGCTCTTGGTTTAACCGTAGAACGTCCCAGCCGAAATCCGCCCGCCACGATCGATCAGTCCACAATCGTCGGCCCGCAGCGACCCGCAGCGATGGATGCCGCCGCCCCCCCGGCCCCTGCGGCTGACGCGCCGATGCACGACCGGCCTCCGTCGGATGGCTCTCCGGCCTCTCCGGCCGCTGACGCGGCCGCCCATGCTGCTGCCGATCCGGTCCCTCTCACGCTCAGCGATATCCGCACAAGCCACGACAACTTCGAGGTCGCCGGCTTTGGCCAGGTGCAGCCACCAACCTGCTTGCCTCCATGTTCACGCTTCGCGCCCCTTCCCCCCCTCTGACGCCGCCGTATGACCGTAGGTGAGGGGCACGACTACCCGCCTGGAAGGCGCTCTCATCAGCAAGTCACCCAGGCACCAACTCCTGGGCGTTTACGCTTGACTACGAAACCATGCAGTGGATGCAGCTCGATCAAAACGGCGACGCCAACAGCTGGTCCCTGGGCGAGTTCCTCGCCCAGGATGAGGTGCGAGTCATGATGCTCGACCCAGCGTGCACCAAGTCGCTCACATTCCGTGAGTTTGTCAACGGGCCGAACACACTCTCCAAGTCGACTGCGATCTCGAACTCCGACAACTGGACCGGTGCACCTGGCGTAGGACGATGGCTCCCTCGACGACATCCCTTCATCGACGGACGCCTTCACCGCCGCCGGCCCTGGGCCATCCAGCGCGGCCTCCGACGGCCTGCACGTGATCGAGCGGGTACAGAAACGGTGGCTGCCGCAGCTCACACCCTAATCGATCTGCCTTAGGCACGGAGCCAACGGAGCCATCGCGCATGCCCGCATCGCGTGCGGCTCCGAGGTCTCCCGCCGAGACCGGCTCGGCGCGGCGCGTGGCCGCACGCCGCCGTTGAAAAGGCGAGATAGGACCGAGGGGACAGAGCGCCGGCCACATCGAGCGAGCGCTGACGTGTAAGGTGTCTGTGCTGCTCCGGTGTGTGTGGGATTCTGCCTCCCCCCCATCTGTGCGGCGAGTTGTTTGCGGCGCGATGCCCGATCGTGCGCGATAGCCTCCCATTGTGCGTGGTGTGTCGGTTGTCGGGGTCGTCCGGAGCGTGTGGCGGCGCCGTTGCATGCAGCGACTGCTCCACGTGCCACGACTGCTTTGACTGACGTGTCTGACTGATGAGTGCCACGAACTGCTTTGACTGACGTGACTGACTGATGAGTGCCACGAACTGCTTTGACTGACGTGACTGACTGATGAGACATGAGTGCTGATGGATGATCTCCGACAACCCTAAACCAAAATGCAAATGCGGAGTGGCCCACTTTGGCGTGCAGATCCTGCGTCTCTCACTGCCCGAACAACAGAGACGGGTACCGCCGCAGGTCCCACACTAGTGATTTTAAAATTCTTTTTCGACCCAAGCGACAAGGCGCCAGCCTCTCGACCAACCTCCGTCCGCCATTCACCCCGCCTCAGGCCCCAGCCGCCTCCAGCGCCGTATCCCGCCCACGCCGGGGCGACATGGCCTCGCTGGCCTCCCTCTTCCCGCGTCGCACCGCCGTCCTCTTTGGCGTGCCCGGCCTCGGCGTCCCGAGCGACTGCGCCCGGCTCGCCCGGCGGACGGCGGCGCGCTGCGACGCCCTCGCCGCCGCGGTCATCTCGGCTCACCGCTCGGGCGGGCCCGCGGCGCCACGGCGCATCGTGCGTGGCCTCGACGCCCTCTCGAGCACCGTCTGCGGGCTGGTCGACCCGCTCGAGCTGGCGCGCTCCGCCCACCCGGAGGAGGAGATGGTGCGGGCCGCCGACGCGGCCCATGGCGAGCTGTGCGAGACGCTCCACCGACTCAACACCTCGGCGGAGCTGCACGCGGCTGCTGCCGCAGCGGCACGTGGTGCAAGCGCCCTCTCCACCGGCGGAGGCAGCGACCGGGGCTGCGGAGAGAGCGACCCGGGCTGTGGCGCGGACGAGGCTCCGCTGTGCGAGGCCGAGGCGAGGCTGGCTCGGGCCTTCGTCTCCGAGTTTGAGCAGGAGAGGGAGGGAGGGAGAGAAAGAGGGAGAGAGAGTCGGAGGGAGAGGGAGAGGGAGAGGGAGAGGGAGAGGGAGAGGGAGAGGGAGAGGGAGAGGGAGAGGGAGAGGGAGAGGGAGAGGGAGAGGGAGAGAGAGAAGAGCGAGGGGAGGGGGGGGAGGGGGGGGGAGAAGACAACCGGGCAGGGCACCGCCTTCACAGCTCACCGTTGCGCCTTGGGTCCGCAGGGGACGCACGAGTTGCGACTCTTTCGCGTGAGCCGTGTGCGGGGCTGCCCGCGCAACGACTGATCGAATCGACTGAGATCGCCATCACTCTGGCCGTGTGACCGTGACTGGTGTGGCGGGGTAACTCGCATGGACCCGTTCCTCGATGACGAGGTCGCAGATGGGCAGCCGATTGGCGAGGAGGCGCCAGCACACCACCCAAAGGAGGGATTGCCGGTGCATGTGTGCGGTGGTGAGAGAGTGGACAATTTCTCGCGCAAAGATGGCATGATTCTGGGCCTTCGGCGCCAGGACCACCGACTCCTTCATGCGGCGGGGCCCACCGTGTGCGTCGCACAGAAACTTGCTTTTACGGATGGGCTGAGCCCTGGGTGGAGTATTCTTTCTTTTTCTGGTAATGTCGTATTAGAAATTGTGGATAGTCAGTAAGCTAAAAGTACGTAGGTCGTACATACACACATACACTGATCCGGGGCTCTAGGCCCCTAAAGGCCCTACGCTCTCTCAGTATGTAGCTCTGACGTACATTCCCGGAGGAGGACTCTGCTGACAGGGTTTGCGATGAGGAGCGACTCGGAAGGCTTTCTCGGTCGGGGTTACTGCACCACTAATTTTAAGCTTAATGGGAGCGTGGAGGGAGGTTGTACGTATGTTGACAAAGGAGAGAGAGAGAGAGAGAGAGAGAGAGAGAGAGAGAGAGAGAGAGAGAGCACACCCCTCTCCCTTTTCTCCCATTAAGCTACTCGAGTAAAAGTACGTACCTAAGGTACGACACACACACACACACACACACACACACACACACACACACAGAGAGAGAGAGAGAGAGAGAGAGAGAGAGAGAGAGAGAGAGAGAGAGAGAGAGAGAGAGAGAGAGAGAATGACACAGCGCAAAGAAAGGGGGGTATTTCTCGAACTTTACAACATCGACACGCTCAAGCAGCTCTCTGCAATAGCACTTGAGCGACCGCTCGGAGCGCCACCGCGAGCGACACGAGCGAGGCGGGACCCACCCTCGGCGCACTGATCGACCGCGATTCCTCGTACAGCTCTCCTGCGGCTCCTCGTAACGCGCCCTCGTGCCTGCCCGCCCATGCAAGCCCGTCCAACCCCGGCGCCTTCATCCCCACCACGGTCGGGGCGGGCCTCCCTCCGCTGCTCGCCACCGTCCGGCAGCCCGCCGAAGGCTCGGAGGGCGGCGCCGAGGGCGGCGAACAGATAGCGTGCGGCCCACACATTTCTCATCCTCTGGTCGCCACTGGCACTGCCTGCTGCACTCATTACAGAGAGAGAACGTACTTACTGGGAGAAAAGGGAGATAGGTAGGTGACCATCTGAGCCCCCCCCCCCCCCTGGCCTCCCCCTCGTTTGGGTCCTTCCCCCCCCCCTTTCCGGGGGGG